GAACTCTCGAATGAAAATGATTTCCCAGCTTTCTTTGTTCTAAAAAGCTGCCAACTTCATATTTTGTTCCTGTGGCAGTAAATGAAAAACTTACACTGTCGTAGCATCTATCAATGACTGAGTTTCGCTCTTGCTATGGATAACTCAAAATCCTCTTTACAGAAGAAAATGACGCTAGACAAAGGAACACAAGTAATGATTATTATGTCCATTGTTAACATATGCAATGTGTTTTTGGTTTTTGTAAAGGTAAGTTATTAACAATCCTAAATGCTTCTTGAATTAGCTAAATTGCAAAAACTCAGGGTGCCGTTGCCTACCATACAGGTTCCTTTTCCATAGCCAACTCTACTCTTGAGACATTTGGAGATGTATTTGTCGGATTTCTTCTTCTTATGCAACGACTTCAGGTGATAAAATTCTCTAATGTCTTGAGACTATCGGTACTTGAAGCTTCATTAAGGTATAAGCGATTTTCCATGCTTTGGATAAGTGCTATTGTATTAAATCATCCTAAGAGATACATAAATCCTCATCTCAGAAGTATTTAGAATGTTTCAAAGTTAGATTTATGTTGAAATTTTAACTACTCAATTCTGTTTTGTGAAAAAAATTTAAACATATCTCAACAACTAATAGGTCTTATTTGTTTGCTTATATTTTGGAGACTAATAAAGAGACTAAAAGCCTCAAGAAAAATCCCAAGATATGCAAAAAGAAGTTTTCTTCTTGGAAAAATCCGGGGCTGGAATTCAATAATGTATGAATTTAGGCACGAATCGTAAATGATAACCGTTATCCACGTGGACGAGCAACGGAATCGCTTTCAAACGTTAGTGCTAACAATTTTTCACCAGGTTTTAAGCTTTTGCCTAGATTTTCACCACCCCCTCATCTAAAAGAATGTTTGGAAGTCAAAGTAAGATACATGGCTGTGTTCAAATTTTTGAATCTGTAAAGACACTGCATCCAATGAATTCTTTACCAACGTTGAAAAAAGCACCATGTACACATTCTAAATACTTGATTG